AGTAAAGGTCATGAGGGCTGCAATAAGGGTTAGAATAAGGGTCACGAGGGCTGTAATAAGGGTCAAAATAAGGGTGACGAGGGTCAGATTGAGGGCCACAAGGGCCTACATAAGGGTCATGGAGGTCATATGGGGCTCTCCCTCCATTATAAAAATCCAAATTGACTTCTGGTGATGAAAATTTGGTACTCGAAATTAAGACTCCAAAATTAAGGGTCAGAGTAAAGGTCACGAGGGCTATAATGAGGATCAGAATAAGGGTCACGAGGGCTGTAATAAGGGTCAAAATAAGGGTGACGAGGGTCAGATTAAGGGACATAAGGGCCTACATAAGGGTCATGGCGGTCATATGGGGCTCTCCCTCCATTATAAAAATCCAAATTGACTTCTGGTGATGAAAATTTGGTACTCGAAATTAAGACTCCAAGATTGAGCCTCTGAAATAAGGGTCACAAGGGCCTGGGGTCCAAATAAGGGCCAGAATAAGGGTCATCGGGGCCATAGGGGGCTTCGCCCCCCACTAACAACCCCAATTCCCTAAATTCACACGACCGTCTCCAAACCATCCTCATCATCGTAAAATGACAATCAGAATGAAAAACACTTCAAGAATTTTCCCTCCATTTTCGAATAGTTCTGAACCCACAAGTTCTCACGAATGAGTTAAGCCGGAGAACCCCTCATAAATACTCATAAATAGATTAATTAATAACTCGGCGGGATAACCCATGCTGTGCCATTCTCCCATGGAATTATCATCCCGGTTATATCCACGCACATAATCATAATGTATCCTCAAATGGCCAAGGTGGGCGGCGAGGGTGATTAACACCGGCGGAGGGAGGGGGCGGGGAGGGGCCCGAGGGAGGGGGGAAGAGGAGACATGTCCACCGAGTGTTGATGAGTACACGAGGTTTTCCCACAGTTCCGGTGGCTCACAATGATGGAAACCTGGCACTTCCTGTGCTACCTTCCGGTCTCTCCCTACACCATTTTTGTACCGTGAACTGAGGAATCAAACAATTGCGGATAGTGTGGGTAAGGAAACCGTATGGTAAATCCTCCCCGGGTGTCTTGTTCATCGAGTCTGCATTGGGCATGAGATGCTTGGAGAAATGGGCACACGAGTGAGCTTGAATGGACCAGCAGAATGTTATATTGGAGAAAAGAGAGGGCTTCTTGTGGGGGGTAACGGTTATGTCCTGACCGTTATTATTCTCTCCTGTGTTACGTGGGGGGACAATGGTGGCGTGCTGTCCTCGCGAAAGAAAGGAATAAAATTTTTTAAGATTGATGGGAATGCCCTTTTGACGAAAATGTGAGGAATCGAGGGAATATTTTTGATTGAGGAGTTTCCGCGGTGGAAAGTCAATGCTTGGCACTGACAGGAAACATTTACTCTGCCGAAGGAATTTTCCACGTGAGAATATTTGGCGGAGTGGAACGGATTTACTTGAGGAAAATTTAATCTTTCACGAAAATTCAATTTTCTGGTATTTTTCAGACTAAAATTTCGTTTCCTTTTGAAGAATTTTATTTCAATTGTTGTCATTGAGATATCAACATTTCTTGTTGTCCACAAGTACATTGATCTCTTGAGGGGACCCATGAGAAGAATTCTGATGACGAAAAATACGAGAAATTTCCCTGTTCAATTCAATTTATTTTCCATCTCAAAATGTTCTCCTTTCACTCTCTCTCTCTTGTCTCTTTTTGAGATCCTGTTGTTCTGTCTTGTTTTTCTTGTCCTCTGAAATTTCCCTGACGAAATTTCCCTCCCGAATGGAGGAGATAATCAGCGAAATTAAACAGACTACCGGGTTTTGAAATATTGATCCGGCTCATACCCAATCTGCGGAGATACTGATCAATCTGAACGCCAATTACTTGCAATGAAGCTCCCGAGCTGTTGCTACTCCGATGCAAGGGATTGTGTTCAATACCCTACGAATGAAATCGATAGTATTCATTGCGTAACGAGGCACTCACAGCAGATCAAATGAATAGTCAATAAAGCATTTCGCTTGCTTCATACACCTCATTGATCCCGACCTTTTTCCCGGAATTGCAGATGGCGGATACCAGTGGAATTCCATGCCAATGAAAATGAGAAGAATCTGTGATTATCTTTCTGTGTGGGCGAGTGGGAGGAATTTTTGGAAATTCCTGGGAATTATTACCAAGAGATTGACGAAATTGAGAATGTGAACTCGGGGTTTTCAATGAATATCTCGAGATCTGAGGGAGATAGCAAAATTTTTGTCGAAACCTTTTTTGTAGCCCTCAATTCGCTCTACAAAAAAGGTCGTTATGAAAATTTCGTTATCTCCCTTAGATTCTGAGAATTTCTAAAAAAACGTAATTCGTAAATACCAAATACCAAATTAAATACCAAAAACTACAAAAAAAATTTTTAAAAAATGGACAGAAATGGCAGACAACGAAATTCTAAACCCGAATTCCCTCGCTCGCCAGCAATTATCCCCCACATTTCGACATAAAACAAGACCAAAGCACGAGTGAACGGCTCGATTTCAATAATATTTTAACTCAGGCGTGACAAGCATCGCGACAAGTATCTGAACCCACCGTACATCCACAATATCCTCGCATTATCCACATGGGTGGGGTCTCATTCCGCTGGTGTAGCATTATGTCGATAAATGAAACTCAACCCAAACGAACATTAGACATGTATATCGGATTAAAATGATAGGCTCACGACTTATAAACCGAATGTTCATGTAGCGGGGGTTCAAATTCCACTCTCGAAAACAGTGGTTCATGTGGCCCTTTTTAATCGGGGTTACAGTACGATATACTTACAATGTTTGAGGCCAGTGAAAACGAGCAACCTCATTGCTGAGGTCCAAGGTCACCGATTTATGTACACTCATTACATGCCTTTCCCCGCGGCTAACATTTAAAGACACTAGGCACTGATTGTTTCCGTGAAAAATATACTGAGTTGAGAAAAAAAATTTAGAAACTGCATTTTCAATGTTGAAAAACCAATAAGAAAATATGAAAAACGGAGATCAACTGCAATTTAAAAAACCCATGTGGTCCAATCGGCAAAAACATCACTGCGAAAAATAGCCGCTGAAGTGCTCAAATTCTGCCGAAAATCCTATTAAAAAAATCCTGCAACCGGATGAAATAATCCCGCAACCCACCTCTCGGTAATAATCCCCCTGAATTAACGTTATTCACCACATGTTATTATTATTCCACTCCAGAAGCGCTCGGAATATCACTCAGGAAGTACCGCACCTAGTCGAGATTATAGTTAAGGAATGAAACATCACAAATAGGTGGGACAACGACTCCTTTGGACTCCGTACACCGTCCGCTCCTCCAGCATTAACGAGTTATTTGTTGCGGGAGTTGTCTGACACACGCACATGCACGAGGTATCGAGGCACACCAGGTCGCAACTTCCTCATCCGGAGTATATCGTGCACAATAACTATTAATATTCAAAGTGAATAAGAAATAAAGGGTTCACATGTACCTCTGCATCCCCACGACGAGATGCGATGAGGTGTTGTTTGTAATTAGATGAACATGAACAATCGGAATTGGCGTTTTAATCGTGAAAGGTAACGAGAACCTCGGGGGAATGTGCATGTCCGTTAGAATGCACTCCTTTTTCCCTAATTTTCCTCATTGAATTTATAGCCAATCCCAAATTATACACATTAGACTAATTATACACATTATTTCTATTATATAGGGGACGGTGGGGCAAAATGAAACACGGGGCAAAATGAAACAGCAAGAAAATCTTGTGATCTGAGGGAGATAGAACGATTTTCATGAAAACCTTTTTTGTAGAGAATTTTACAAGCTACAAAAAAGGTCCTTTTCAAAAATGTCCTATCTCCTTTAGATGACGAGATTTACCCACTGTTTCATTTTGCCCCGTGAAGAATCGGCGGCAAAAAACGCCGATCTTTTTTTCTGCTGAAGGGAAGCTTTGGAATTGCGGATATTTAAGGCGAATATGAAATTTTTTTATAGCGCGCTCAGTCGACTTTAATAAGCTGTTTTCACTGACACCAATTAAAATTCAATTGTTCATACAGATTCGAAAAAATTGATGTTTTTCCAAAAATCGATTCTTCAACGATCACTCGAAATTGTCATCAAAATGGAATTAGTCATGGCTGAAAAAATTGATAACAACAGCCTCTTGATTCTATCAGAATATTATGGGGGTCGCACAATTAGTTGTTGAGTTACAGCACAAAAATCGTTGGAAGTTTGCGGTGATGACTATTTTACAACCGAACGGGCTCGCTAGATATATCATCGTAAAGCAAACATTCTGAATGTAATCAATTACCGGCGATCCGGCACAAAATGCCACAAGTATCGTTGAGAAATTATTAGCTAACTTGAAACCCGAGTTTTATGGGCATATAACGGGTTGAGATTTGGTACGGCCTTTGGGAAGGACATACCACAGGCACTTTCGTACGCCTTACCTCGGGGCTAAAGGGGAATGCCGATAAATTTGGCACGAACGAAGAATACCGCTAGTGTTACAACATTCTCCACAATTTTTCCTCTTTCCGCTTTTGTTATGTTCATGAAAAAAATTATACCCGAACATATATGTCAGGTATATCACTTACATCCACAGACGAGAGTATCTCATGAAGCTGAAACAAGCGAAATACTCGCCCAGTGGAAAATTCAATTCAGGGTTCAAACCGATTCCCTCTATTGGCCAGTTTTTAATGAATACCTCGAAATTTAAGGGAGATAGCTAAAATGTCATCACTACCTTTTTTGTAGCCCTCACTTCGCCCCACCAAAAAGGTCATTACAAAAATTTCGTCATCTCCCTTAGATTCGGAGATATTGCCAGTCGACCTGACCCGTTCCATCCCTTCGCTACAATACGGAAATTTTTTTTTCCGCCGTCGATTTTTTTTCCATTTTCAGCTTCAAAATTTATTTTTCCCGCATATTGTTCTGCAATTATAAATTACCTCTTTCATTCCATCGAGTCTCCCCAGGCTCTTGGTCCCTCTCAGTGGGAAACCATTTTCGCACCAGCTACCAGCAATAGGCGCCGTAGGACACAGCCTCGACTCGGCAGCATTAAGTCCCCTCCCCCGGCTCTTGCTCTTCCTCTTATCGAGCAAATGTTTCGCCCTGGACTTCCTAACTGTCGTATTACCATCGTCCTCCGGATCACTCTGCACTTCCCACCTCGACGGCGACTTGAAACGTCTCCTAGAGCTAGTCGGAGACGTCACCGGCGAAGTGAGCCTCTGCACCAGTGTCCCGAACATGGTCATCATTCGATCCTCAACTGACAAAACACTAAACACCGGTTTCAGTGGGATATCACCAAAGTATTATCCATTCAAAAGCTCGGATGACAGGAAGCAGTTGAACCAGAAGTTCCTACCAGTGACTCTCATTTCTCTGAGCGACTTCATCTCAAAAACATGATCAATTAGATCGAGCGCAAGAGCTCGGAGGAATCTTGAGCGATGCGGGGATTCCCCTCCATTCGAGTTGACGATCTACCCGAGAGTAGACGACTGATGGCCCCGAGAATCAACCACTTGTTGCGTCAACTCGCGCCTCAGAAAGCTCACGCACCGCTCACAAAACGCGGAATTGCGCTCACAATCCTCGAAGCAAGGATTCTCCCGAGCGACTCGCCCCGCCGATTTAATAGTGCGTGAGCTGACGTGTCAGTTTGAAAAGGCTGGTCCTGGAATCACCTAAGTATTTGCCTGGAGGGCATACAACACACACCACTAGCATTTAATATGCCCATAAAACTTCTGAGCACTCGTCGCCGTCACTCGAACGAAGTCACAGTTTTCACATTTCCATTTGAAAAAAAAAAAAAAAAACGCATTTGCGTCAAGTGCAGAGCGCCATACAATCGAAACACTTGTACAGGAGGCGATTTTTTTTCTTCCTCAAGAGCTCGCAATACGCATTCCGCTGCGATGATGGACTCACTGCGTGCGGAATTCAACTAGCCGCGCTGAGATGGTCGCACACGACCGGTTGGCCTCGCTCCGACGAAGTGACGCGACTTATTCCGAGAATTTACGAGCGCCGACGGAGGGGCCCGACCCTTGTCGAGAGCTAACGAACGCTGTTAGGGTTGCCATAGTGATGGAGACTTCGCTCAAGTTCCCCTGGGGCCTCATCCGCCCTGGCATTCCACCTGCATCACTCTCTCTCTCTCTTTTTCTCTGAGAGCTCTCTGTTACTCTTGTTATCGCGTTGGACAGATTTTGAAGGGGATCAGCAGGGGAGGGCTGCGTGCTCTTGACTGATGACTAGTTGGTTTTTCTCAAAACACATATGTCAGTGAAATTTGATATGGTTACTGGCCCAATATCCAGGGGGGAATGCACAGAAAAAATCGGGAAAAAAATTCTGGGTGAGGAAAATTCGAGGAATTCTCCTGGCCCAGAAGTTGAACCCACGTTTGATCCTTTTTTCTATTCATTAAAACAATGTCTATGTTACTTTTCACGAGTAATTACATTCCAAAAATAAGCTGACTTCGCTGGCGTAATTATGATTTGCTGTATTTGTGTTTCACGAATGAAATTAAAACATTTTACGACGATATTGTTACGGAATCGAATGATTTAATCTATTCTCTTCCCCTCTTTTGTAGAATAAAAGAAGGTTGATTGTCTCTCTTCAATGTTTGGGGTAACTTCATTTATTATTGATTCCTGAGAACTAAAAATAGAATAAATACGGCCCTTTGATTGATCCCGAATTATTACTTGTTTAAACACGACATTTGGTGTCAGAAGTGGGATTCGAAGTGATGGAGAATGATAGCTAGATTGTGGTTCTCAACTCCCAGAGTACCATGGAACGAAGATGGATGCGCTGACAAAGATGAACTATTTTTTAATATCTCTGACTATTGGTTTTAATTGAACCTCTTCCAATTTTGTTATTTTCCGTCAGGGTTTTTAATCGGAGGAAGGAGCTGAGCCTCTCTCTCTCTCTCTCTCTCTCTCTCTCTGTTTGGGATGACTTCCAATAAATACGGCCCTTTGATTGATCCCGAATTATTACTTCTTTAAACACAACAATATTTTTTTTATGACTCCTCTGCCTAAGAATTGATTGGCTGTAAGATACAAAGGCCCATCACAAGCAGCAAAAAATGTCGGCGCAGAAGCTTTTCCCCGGATTCTCCGATGAAAAAATTTCTTGCGTCTCAAATAAAATTTTTCGACTCCTCGGGCACGATTTGTTATTTTCTCTAGCTTGAAATTGAAGCCTCCCCATCAGCCTTAATAACAGAATTTTCGTTGAGGCACATTTTCCCGGGACACGAAGCGGACTGATACGTGCGCCCCAGCATCTCCTTATTTGCAATCAGAGAAACATGCAGAACATGTAACGGTCTCTTCAATATGGGAGGAAGAGGGAGGGAGGGCCGATAAACTTCGATACCCGTATAATTCCCGTTTCCTAGTCATCGAACATCTAATTAATAGCACACGTGATGCATCGGAATTCAACATTCACCTTTGATTTAATGACTCTATTCCATCAACATAACCCGAGAATAATTTTTCACTGATGTTATCGGAGAGGCCGGAATTTCGATAGAGAAAAAAAATTTGATCAATTAACGATTAAATTGGGGTTATTCATTAGGAGATGCGAGTGGATCCGACAATTGAATAATTAAAAACGGGCGGGAGAGGGGCGGATTTATTCGTTGAGTTGAGACGGGTAATATTAGCAATATTAGTTGTAATGTAATAGGTAAACATTTATTTCAGGAAGAGGGAAGAGGATTGATAAATTAAACATTCGATTCCGGTAATACTATTCCGTCATCCTTGGGGCGGGCTTTTTTGTGGGTAAATATGACTCGACAAATAAAAGTTGATAGAAATCGACAAATGTCAGGGGGCCTTCACCTGGCATAGGCCCGGGTCAGGGCTCGAACTCATCCCAGAAATGTCGGGAGAGTAAATAATGGAATTTGGGCGCCAGATAATTTATAGTTAACAACGTTTGCTCGACTCGTCAGGGAGCGGAAGCTCGAAGACTAAATATATCAATTCAACGGAGTGAGGGAGATGTATCAATGGATGACTTATTCCATCAATCGGCAGTTGAATTTATTGAAAAGTCCTAGTGTAACTCTTACACAAATAAACAATTGTAAATAAACTATTGGAAATGGGTGATTTTTAATAAAAATCAATCTGGTTGAGTTGAAACTTTTCTTTATTTGAAATTATTTACGAGGAAGACACATCCACACGCTTTGAGCTCCTCAGATGGACTAACTAAAGAAACAAAGATCCCAGAGGTCTGAAACCCTGGCGACATAGACCCACAAAGGTCTCTATTCATTTACAGATGTTTAGACTGAAAAACCAAATGCCCAAACATTCGTCCACGCTCTTCTCAGAATTTCAGATCAGAAAAATGTTCTCTTATAATAATATAATAAACATACTGTGAAAAATAAAATTAATTTTTGTAATCATGGAATGTGAACTCCAACATAAACAATATCAAAATTGCACAAAGTAAAATGCAAAGACATGATGGGAGACTTGTTGCTTGCTGGCACGCGCAGTCGAGTGAATCAATGATTCGGTTCATGCGTTCGGACTATCAACCAGATGTTTGCTTCGGTGATTGTGCGCTTGAAATTTTAAATTTCGTAATTCTGTTCTATAATTTATGGAGCGTAAACATTCATTCATGAAGGACAGTGACATTTAGTGAGTTTTGTGTGGCGAAAGCAGTAAATTCAACAAATGAAAACAATCACTCTAAATTGAGATTGACAGTTGGAGAAAATTGCTATCAATTTCCCTCTCGATTGCAAAATTTTCAGATAATAATTCTCCCTGCTCATCCGCCCGGCGTTCTCGCCGGCCTCTGTACATACATCCCACTATCAGTGTGATACATTTGTACACACACCGATGAAAAGTGAATAAAAAAACTAGATTGAGGGAGGGACACCGAGCAACTGAAAGAACTCCGGTAGATACTGCTCGTCGAGTTCCTACAGACTGACTCACGTACCGGTCCCTCATTCCCTCTCCCTCCATCTTCCTCAATTTCAACTTTTTTCCATACCCATTATGATTCTCTCTCACTCCCTCGCACATCGTCCATCTACTCTCTCTTTCATTGAGTTTCTCAAAGTGGATAACGTGGGCGAGAAAACTGGTTGATAACCGTAGAATATCCTTGATCTTGAATACAATCATTCACGGAATGGTGGAGGGAGTATTTTGAAATAGTTGACTGCACAACATTTATACGATGCTTATCACCCTGAATTCCGTCGATTTCTCGGCTTTTATTTTCGTCTGGGCCTGAGAATTTCGGCCCACGGGAATATTCAGTCCCCCAATTGCCACAGATTTTTCCCATTTTTTTTTCACCTCGATTGTCTGCACTCTCAGGTACACGATGAGCCTTAAAAGACATTGTGAAAATAACATAAATTGATATAGTTGACGGTGGGAAAAATCTCATTTCACTTCTCGCCGAGGCACTTGGCAAAGAGACAACGCGCGTCGCTCGTTAGCTTTCTTTCTTGATCTGCGGTGAAAGCTCTCTTCAAATAACAAGTGACCAGGAGACATCGACATACATTCTCGCACACTTCCGATTATTCCTGACGTGAAAATTCGATAAATGCAGTCTCAATGGCCCGTAATTGTTGCAGAATTTTTTTCCACCCGTCACAAACATTTGTCTCGAGAATGAGGAAAAAAATTTCGTCATCATCGGAGGCATATCAAACGAGTTTACGTAGTATCGTTTTATATGCATATCAGATGACTTGCTGCGCACTAACCGGTATGTGTGGAAAGCGGGTATTATTTTCCACACGTCGATTTCCTCTCGCCGTTTACGTGTATTTGCCTATTTGCTGATCTGAATCTGAATTTACGAGATTTTTTTTTCCGCGAATGAAGTTTTATTTTCTAGGTACATCTTGTTAACAGCCATTCTGTTCCGACGTATCATTCATCATTTCACGAGGGGCGGAGAATCATGTTTAGAAATTGGAAAGGATTTTGGGAAATTAACAATTTTATCTAGTCGATAAATTCAAAAAATTCATTGACTTTCGAATTTTTGAGAGTATTTTCTCCCAATTAATATGGACTCGAGGGTCTTTCATATGCATAAAATTCCCCTCCCCCCCCCCTCTCTCGAGATAATCAAACTTCGAGAGTATGTGGACGGTTTTCGCTGTGAGTTGAATTTAAAAGACTATTTTTTACTGTAAAGCGTTGGCTTTCGAACGCCGTCGTGTGAGGAATTACAAAATCGAGGCATTCTTTCTCGTATGTTTTTTAGTCATTGTTGACGACCACGTTTCAATGAACCTGAAAGGGAGCCAGTCGCGTCGTTTGGTCGGACGAAACTCGAAATCGTCTAAAAAATATTCTAGATAATTTGTTGCGTTGTTGTTTTTATCTATTTCGACGATGACGCTTTCCACAAAATACGAGGGGAGAAGTAACCGGATCATCGTGGAGTGTGGCCAACTCTTATTAATCGCTATTCTGGATGTGTTCACACAGCATTGTAAAGTAATGGAAGCGCTTGCACGCAACGCCTACGTGACGTCCGGCCTCGCCCCGTATATGCATATTTTTAAGAAAAAGACTATGTAAGAGAAGAGGAGAGTTATTACCACGAAACAGACGCATCTGAAGGGGTGAAAAAAAATTGCTAAAACATGGGGAAAACTTTGGGTCATGAAACTTCAGCCGTAGGGGGATGAAAAAATAAAAAACGAAACCTGAAAAATTGTTCCCCTTATAGAAACTGAATGAAACGAGTTGAAGGCGATTTGAAGGAGATAAATAATTTTAATAACTGTTCGAAAGTGCGAGGTGGTCGGCAGGAGTGAGTGCCGCCATCTTGGATACCCCCTCCCTCTGTCACGAGGGGATTCAAAGATGGCGGCGCCCCCACCTCCGATTTTCAAACGTTTCTTAAAATTAATTATCTGGATTTCAATTGAGATAAATGTAATTTATGTAAATTAAAATCCGGGAATAGTTCACAGATGATGAAATCCCCGTGGAGTCATTATACCACAAAAAAGATTCATCTCAAGGGGCAAAATACTCTATCTGGTGATTAAAAGGCCTCGGGAATGAAAAAAGCTGCTGAAATAGCCAGAAAAATTTGCTCTTTTCATGGGAACTAAATAAAACAAGTGAAAGGTGATTTGAAGGAGACAAATAATTTTAATAAATGTTCGAAAATGCGAGGTGGTCGACAGGAGGGAGTGCCGCCATCTTGGCTGCCCCCCCCCCCACGGAGGTTTGAAAAATGGCGGAATCTCCACATCGCATCTTCAATTTAGATAAATATAATGTATTCAAATTTAATTCCTGAAATCGTTCACATTCCAATAATTATCAGCTCGGCGATGAAATAGGCATACAATAGGCACGTGATGGAATCCCCCATGGAATGAATTGATAAGTCAAACCGATTTCTCAGTGGATGCGACATCTCTCTCTCTCTCTCTCTCTCTCTCTTCCCCTCCCGACGAGTTTAATGCACCAACGTTTATAATACCCCAGCAATGGGTAACAGAAAAGATGTATAGAAAAGAGGAGGCCCAATACCAGTGGCATGACTTCCTCGTTCCATTATTGCATTCACCCTCTAACGCGCTAGCTCGTGCTTCAGGTTTTATCTCTGGAGATCGCCGGCATACGCACACACGTGCAAAAGAGAAAAGGGGAAGAGAATAAATCGAATACCGAGAATTTCACAAGATTGACGACGCTGAAGTGATCATATATCACGTGATTTTGCAGAAGGCAATAGCCGCTATAACCGCCATATTCGTTCTTCTCGCTTTGTCGTTGATCTCAGATTAATTTCAGCTGAATATCATGATGCATTTTTTTTTCAGTAACAAAATTCTTCAATTTCCAAATTTTATAGGTTTATTCGTGTAATAGGTGATTTCTTATTAGTTTTACAACAGAAAAAAATGCTCTTCTAATAACGAGTGAAAACTTGGGATATAAAAACGGGTTTGAACAACGGATAAAACAAATCTGACATGAATTGACTACTTAAGAATACCCTTAAAATTACAAACAATACTGAAAGGTGCTCTTATCCAAGGAGAACAGAAAACAATAGTGACCCAGTCCACACGAAGGAATGGGGTCTTAAATTAAGACACAAAAGCGTTGATTGAGACACTTTTATCCCCTTTTTTAGGAAATTTTTCAAATTAAGGACATCCAAGTATTTTAGCTTTTTTTTCGAGTGAAATGCTCTTCTGCTTTTTTAGTCGAACATTAAAGCTTTCACTTGAGCCACAATTGACCCCAACTTTCAAGACATTTTACAATGATTTTATTATTTAAATTTAACAGGCCTGAATTTCAATAGCATCATTGAACTGTTAAAAATCATTTTTTAATCTAAAAAAATGAGAAAGTTTACTTTTGAAGGGAGATTCACGAAATAATTTGAAAATTGCAATTAAACAATCAATTTTCCATCACAAAAATAATTTGTTTGAAATCGTAAAAAATATATTGATATTTAAAATTTTGCCAGAAATCGATTTCATGCCTAAAAAAATTAGATTTCCGAAAATTTAAACAGTTTCAACTATTTATTTATAAATTAGGATGATGGTTCACGTCCATATAATAATTAATTATGCGGTGGAATCATGGGACGTTTCGATTAATTTAATCTTCATCAGGCTCTGGAAATTAATTACAAGAATTCATCATTTTTAAAATAATAAAAATAATTTAAACTTTTCAAAAAACTTTAAGGACCATATCTAAAGGAATACCTGTCATCAATAGTGTTTTTTGTCACTGCAAAAACTATTTTCTCTATTAAAAATCACCATCATAATACAACAAATTAAAATTTTAATCGAAACCTCGCGGCATTTGCCCATGAGCTAGTGTGGTTTTTACTGTGTCCAAAATCTCACGACTCCACCTCATAATTTACTGCTAAAACAACGACTGTTAAAAAAAATAATAATTCTGTTTAAAACGTAATTTAAATAACGCGGAATATTCAAAATTTTTTTCAATTTTTTCTCACGCAATTCAATTGACAAATTTGATGATTGAAAGTGATTGAATCTACAGTAAGATCTATCAACCTGTAAAAGACACTTGGACATCCTCAAGCCCCAGTTTTTCCCGTGTGTATCCAGCACCGTGTGAAAAAAATCGAGTGCATAAAATAATTTGTACATTGATGGCACGTCCCAAGAGATACCCATTCGTACAGCTACAGACCCCCAAAGTATATCCCTGGACATCCAATACAAAATTGAGCATCGATGCCCTCATGGAAAGAACATATATCCGGACATATATCTCAGTATATTTCACTTATATTTCGGCCAAAAATGTCATGTGCCAGCTATATCCTAGATATAAATATGCACTATATCTCGATGTAAAATATTTAACATATGTGAACGTCCGCATGAAAAGTGACCGAGATATTCACGTTTTTGTCTCAGGAACTCCCATTTACACTCATGTTAAAGTGTTTTTTTCATCTGCTCCGGCGACGTCATTTTTCACCCTATGAGGATCATTTTAGGCTCAAAATGTGCGGAATGTTATAAACATTATCAGAGTATATATAACTCCATATCGACAAAGTGGTCCCTTTTCATGTGGACGTCCACATGTATCTGCAATAAATCTCAGATATATTTTCGGCCAAAAATGAGTTATGCCAAATAAATGCTAAATATAAGTGCTGCATATATCTCATTCCCATAAGGGTGGTTGCCAATGGCCCAACGGAAGATCGATAAATTGAGACAATAGATCTACGATCTACGATTACAGAAAGTCCTCGGTAGACGTGACAGTGGCTTCGATGAGAAGACCAAAGTCCAGTTCGGTGAGACTAGCTTTGGCTGTGAGGAGATCCAAAAAAGTGTCGAGAGGTGAGAGACGATCGGCGGAGGGAAAGGCAGCGAGGCCGTTGTGCCGAAGACAGTGCTGCGAAGTTCTTCCCCGATTCTGGCATATTTCCCCGGAGAGGATGTTGGTGGCGTGCTCTCGGGCCCTCAGCATGAAGCTGACGGGATGGAGCCACTGGTTGAGCAGTCGCTTTCCTCGGGATCTTGGGAGAAGCGAGAGGAGATGGAGCTTCTTTATGACGTTCTCCTTAGTGTCTCCAATGTCTGGAAAACGTGCAATCACCACATAAAATTCTTCAGACTGAGGTTCTTAAAACTGTTTGCATTACGTGGCGTATTTCAATTATTTTTATTGAAATCAACATTTCGACAGTGGAAACCATGGAAACCTGTGGCCTGAAATGAGGTTTTTGAAGGAAAAGAAGATTTAGTTGGACTACATCGTAATCAATACATCATTCAGGGGGAGGAAAGGAGTTATTTATTCATTCCAAGCATTCCATAACAATATGCAAAAATATAGGATACATATGCCGGTGTATATGAAAATATGTTAAATTGGTCCGTTGAATTGGTTTTGTGTTAAACCGTCATGGAACCGTGGCGCCATCATGACGCCGACGGGCAGTGCGCGAAGCACTGGCCCTGAAAGATGCATGAGATAAACCGTAGATCCACGAGATACAAGAGATACATGAGATGGTCGCTGTTGCCGATGTCCTAATTGAATATATTAAAATGTATTATATATATAAATGTATATATACAAAAAAAAAAATTCAAATAGAATTAAAATTTAGAGAGAAAAAATTCCGATTCAATTTAGATTGAAACACGCCTCAACCTCAGATATGACATTTTACCCCAACCTCTCAAATTCGTGGCATCCACATACGCCGTAATCACAATTCACGTCAATTATAGCTATCAGCTGCTTTTCAATGAATATCTCGAAATGGAAAGGAGATAACAAAATTTAGTGATGACCTTTTTCGTAGCCCTCACTTCGCCCCCCAAAAAAGGTCTGCCCAACAAAAATTTCGCAATCGCCTGGATTCGGAGATATTCCTCGAAAGTTATCGGAGCTATTCGCTACTGAATTAGAGCGTCATTTTAATTACCTGCGATAATGATCTTTGTCACATCCACCTGCAGTTCGAAAACGGCCCTCTCCACATACTGGAGAAACATGGAGTACCTGAGACTCCGGTACCCCAAATACGTGAAGAACGAGGAGAAGCCCTGGGGCACCGGGAACGCCATGATCTCGATGGCATACCGATACCTCTCCATCATGCTGAAGAGCAGAGCCCTCCTCCCCTCATCAAGCTGATCAATGAGCATGAAGCCCCTCTCCTGCTCCAGCCTGGGGTCCACACAAGCCGCCCTGGACAGCATCTGGCACAACATCCTGGAGCTCTCGAGTTGCGCAGCGACATACCTCGTCGCCATCGCGTGTACCTGAAGGCTAGTGCAAGAGACGTACGAAGTCGCCGGCGTGTTGGTCGCATGTTTCAGTAGATACATCGACAGCTCCCTCAGGTTGACGGAGACCACGTGCTCCTGCCGGGAAGCCGTGCAGTTCTCCATCTCCACGAATGGAAGGGCCGCGTCCAACATCTTGTTCGCTCTGTTGGACATCAGGTGTTCGCCAAAAGCGGCGGAAGCTGTTGCCAAAGTCGAGGCCAGAGCAGACCCCGAGGACGTCGCCAGGACGAGACCTCCACTGGGTGACATGGGGGTGCTGCACCTGGACAACGCCTCCGGCTGGTAGCAAGCCAGTGACACCAGCAGCTTGTCAGTAATCTGACTGGGGTTGAAGCGAGGCTTGCTCTCGCTTCTCTTCCCCAGGTTGTCCCAGAGCCTCGTCCAGAGATCGCTCCTGTAAGGGACCAGTCTCTGCTGAGGCGACAACAGCATCACCGAGGTGTTCCACAGCTTCTCGTGGCTCAGGGTAATCCCGAGGTTGTTGATCTTCACTTCGTAGGAAGAGTAATCCTTAACCGTCGTCACCGGTAGGAGGGAGAGAAGAGGAACGGCGTCCGGTAGCAAGTTCCTTTGAACTATGGAGTAAGACCCTCCGATGAGGATCTCCTGCATGAACTGGACGACATTGAGGGACTTCGGTTTATCAGACATTATCGAGACCAGATTGGCGACGGCTTCGAAGTCGTGACTATGGCACATGAAGTAGTGGATGACTCCCAGTCTTCCATGGACCGAAGTCTCCTTTGTGAAGGTCTCAATGAGGAAGTCGGGGGATATGTCCAGAGGGACCAGGTCCAGGGTAGGCAAGTCGATGGTCAGACTGTTCGAGATGGCCTCCCTCCCAGCCAAGAACCCCTTCTTCCCTTTGAGGTTGTGCGAGGCACTCGGAAGATTAATCAATGGCACCAGGTACGAGGATCCCTCAGGGATTGTCGGTAGTGGTCCACAGAGAATGTGACAACTGGGGTCATGGGTCACACCAATCTCCAACAGGTGTGTGAAGAAACCCTGGACCAGAACGATCATGTAGTCGCCACCGTCGGCAATACAAAATGTCGGCCGCATGAGTTTCGCTTGGGACCAGGGGATTCCCGGGATTACGCAGTGGATCACGCAGCTGTGATGCAATAGCGTCACGGAATACGCGAAGTGCACGGTGTTGGAGTCACTCAGGGTGGCGTCCAGCATGTGCTGGGGGGGTTGAACAGGCCTGTAAAGGTAGTGATGGCAGACGCAGACCATTCCTCGGGTGTCCGAGATGACGATCAGGTCTAGGGAGCAATCGTGCACCCTCAGGGGGATGACGTCATCCTCGTAGGTGCCGCAGTAGCCTGAGGTGGGTAGCTGGGGGAGGTTAAGGGGGATGTTGAGGACGGTCTCGTGGGGGAGTTCGTCGTGGAACTGGAGGCCACTGAGCGTCGGGGATGAGGAGGGCTTAGGACGGGCTTCGTCGTCCTCCTCGGCGATGACGCTTGCCTGGGGCCGACGGTTGTGGATGTGGTAGAGGACTTGGTTGGTGGAGTCCCACTGGGCCCACAAGAAGGTGCGCACGATTATTTCTGGGTTGAGGGCTTGGATTTCGGGGGTCGGGGGGTGGAACGTCGCGGTGTACATGGTGATGGTCTCGTGGTGGATCAGGACCAGAAATTTGTCGAGGGTGAGGGGCTTTTGCTTGTAGAGGAACTGAATTCGGACTTGTTTAGGGGTCGCGGTTTCGAGGTTATGGGTCTTCGCGGAGGAGAGCTCGAGGACGAAGGGCTTGTACAACTGGTGAGGGTCGTCGGGGTTCGCGGGGGATTGGGGATCGATCGCGGGGTCTTTCACGACGTAACCCAGGAGGGTGTGACTCTGGTTTATCGACGCTTGGACGATGTTTAGGGTTGTGGGGAAGTGGTGGAGTACTTGGAGGGAGTCTTTACCGCGGTCGTAGTGACCGATTACCGAGTGCGGGGGGGAGGTCTCCTCGATCCAACCAATCAGGAGGGAGCAGTCACGCTCCTGACCCAGGAGTTTCCACTGCTCAGCTGGGGGAATAAAGTCGATTGTGAGGTAATCGATGACAGATGGGATGGGGCTTATCGTTATCGGTATGGCCTTGGGCTTAATTTGCGGATGCAGGCAATCGGGATGACTAATTATATTGTTGACTGATTTGAGGTGATGGAAATTTATGCAAATTAGTAGGGAATAATTGAGAGCGAAAAAAATTTTGATTTTATTTTTTGAAAAAAAAAACTTCGGGTTCTCGGGAGATGCTCAAGATTTCAAGAATGAAAAAAAATTATTTTCTTTAATGCTCATTAAGAAATCATCTAATCATGCATTATTTTTTAATCAAAAATGAAAAAAAAAATTTCTTTGAAACTCGTTAAAAAATCATCTAGCCATCAATTATCTCTAAAAATTAAGAGTAAATTTGGGGAATAAAATAGTACCTTTGAGATCATCCCCCTGCAACGATCCGTACAGCTTCGCCGCGAGGTTCTCAGCCATTTCCTCGAAATCACAACTCCCCACTCAAAAAAATTCCCTCAGACCCCAAAAAACCTCAAAAAGTAATTAATCCCCTGGAAACCTCAATCTGCTCCATTCTATCCACTCGACGTTAATATCACTGCGAGCGGTGCTCGCAGATGTTGTCAACAGTCGATCAGATGTTCTCTTGGGGATGTTCGATAGTATGAAGATCGATACTTGATGGGTCGATAATCGATTTTTTTCTGGGTCGATATATTTGAGAATTTTTTTTGATTATTTAAACGTTTTTTTCTTTAATTTTTGCAAAAATTTTATATTTCTCTAATTCATTTTTATACCGATGTCTTCAAAATCGATAGCCATATCGATTTCGCATGCGATTATGTGTATCGATTCGATATTTAATTTATTTCTTCAAAATTAATTTTTGCAAATTTCGAAATCGGAAGATTTTTTCCATTTTTTCGAAAAGTTTTCCACATCGATATTTTCAGTAGCGATATATCGGGAGCGAAGCCTCGACCTATCGATTAGCCTCCCACAAAGCAGGACCACGTGAGCCCCTAGTTCGAAAATCGCCCGCGCGGCGCCGCCGTCCGGCAATTCGTGACCTATCGTCGCACTTCGGTGCAGCCATTTCTGTTGAACGTCGTGCGATGCAATACCGTGAACAATTCATCAGAAACAATCGTTAAAGTTTATTGTTAACAGTGTCTAGGTCCAACGACCCTCAGTGACATACGATAATAAAACGTAAACAGTGAATAATGCACACGGTTACGGAGCTTGAGACAAGCGTCCCGGCTTTTCTCGGGAAACTCTGGAAACTCGTCGAGGATCCGGAGACAGACGACCTTATTTGCTGGTCACCCGTAAGTACAATTGCATATTACCGACACCTGAGGTGTCCCAGAATGGAAAAAATGGGCCCAAATCACGTCAATCTCGAGACTTTTCTCATCAACTCCTCGGTATTCCCGTTTCCAGAGACGATTAATAATTGTCACCCGTCGATAACTCGACATCCGCAGAGTGAAATCGGGAAATTTTTTTTTCATTTTGAAGATTTTTTTTCGACCTTTAAAACGAGCCCCGACACATCCAAATCGCATCGTCAGCTCGCGAGCTATTGACGTTCAAAGAGGGTTAATTTTGGTGGACCTTGCCCCCACCTGAACACCCGACGTTTGCTGAACGTTTTATTTTCTTTGGGAGTCGCGATCCGTATCCCTGACAATATTTCGGGTCTCGACGCACATCCAACAGTAACCACACTCAATTCACTCACAATCAACGCCCATCAATGCCTCCAGCACTCGATCTAAAAACGTTTATCATCAGGGCCTCATTTTCCCCCAGCGGAGGGGGGTTTCGTCCTTCAACCTGCGATAACTCGGGAACCGCAGAGTGAAATTACAAAATTTTTGTTTCATTTTGAAGGATTTTTTTCGGGGCTCAAAACGCATTTTTGATTTATTCAAATCGCATCGCTGGGTCCCGAGATATCGGGGTTTGAAGACCACTTCGGCGGTGATTCGACTGCCTCGACGCGTGGTCAACGTCGGAGAACGTTTTATTTTGTTTTGCATTCGCTATTTTTTTTTTTCGCGAGGAACTGTCGTCTCACAACGCACCAATGGACGGCGAATAGCGGGAAGGGGCGGTCGGAGGATGGAAATTTCCTCTGCCCCTCGCACTGGAATTCGAGTAATTGTCAAGTCCATTGGGCATATTGTTGGGAATTGGGATTCATTTCTCCGAGGGAATGCCCATTAACGCGTGAGTTGGTTTATTGTTCACCACTTGGGGGCTGGGGGGACTGGAGATGTCGTGAGACGGAGTATTGACGCTCAGTTAATCGTTCGATCGAAAACTCGTTATTCCTCATAAAATACTCGTTTCAGAGTTATGTAATGGTTATTTAATCCATAATTGTATCGGGGTAATTGGGATTGAATTATTTGCGAAAAAATGCGAGAAAAACTGGGGAGTCGTGAGGTGGTACGCAGTTGGAACGGAGGAAAAAGGATGGAATGGCTGAACTTTGTTATTACCAACTTGTTATTCAGACTTGGAGGGAAATGGGGGAGTGTAATTATTGTTTTGTTAAATGGTTAATTATCTCGGTGATGAGTGGCTCCAGGAGAAAATGTGACAGAACGTTTTTTGTAGAGAATTGAATTCTCTGCAGATATGATTTTCTCACTTTTTCCTCTAAGATTACTCGTTCTGAAGATAAATTAATTATTAACAACAATTAGATGGAATTGATGGAGCAAATCAATTTTTCACGTGGAATTGATGAGTAATAAATTATCTTGATAAAGAATAATTAAACGAGAAGATGTAAAAATGTTTTCTGACTTTTTAATAATAATAATAATAATAATAATTTTCTGCTGTAATAATTTAATTACTTACGTGAAAGACCTCTTGACATTAATAATTCTGATGAAATAATTTATTACGTTTGTAGAATGGCCGGAGTTTTTTCATCCGAAATCCCGCTCAATTTGCTCGGGAACTGTTGCCCCACTACTACAAACACAACAACATGGCCAGTTTCGTGAGGCAATTGAACATGTGTATGTATCAGTGAATATTGAAGTAGTGGACAAATAAAAATCATTGATTTGTGAAATTTTAATTTAAAAAAATTGTGAAATTCCAGACGGTTTTCACAAAAAGGTCTCGGTGGAGCTAGGTGGGCTGAAGTGCGAGAGGGATGAGATGGAATTTGCCCATCAATACTTCATCAAGGATCATCCGTATCTGCTGGAGCATATCAAACGCAAGGTATCAATTAATTGCAGATTTTACAATTTTTGTTATGAAAATTTTCAATTGAATTGGGTAGGATTATTTTTAAAAATTCATGGGTAATTTATGTTAATTATTTTTTACAAAAAAATAATTTTTAGTAAACATTCCCTTTGTATAAATGAATAATATAATTTTTTCAGCTTTTGAAATTCATTAAAAGTGATAAAATTCAGAATTTAAATATTTTTTTGCAATTCCAAAGAAATAATTTTTGCACTTAAAAATTGATTGTTTATGGATTTTACAAATTTTTCAAAAGATGCAGATTTTGCATTTCAGGATGAAAGTAAAATCTTCAACATTTAAATAATAAAATCCCAAAAATTTCAATAATCTAGTGTCAAACGTACCTAAATAAATTGAAAACTGCAAAAATATGTCAGAAAACTCGATTAGGTTCGGAATTCTAATTTTTTCTCCACGAAATTATCGTTTTTGTTTTTCAAAGAAGAAATGTTTAAAAATCAAGAATTTTTTTGACACCTCTAAAAAATAATCCACCGTTTTGCAAAATAAGAGGGAAAGGTTTGAAAAAATATCAGTATTTTGCGAAATTTAATTTAGATAATACTGACTGGTATGAATTTTTTCAAATTTTTTCCATGCAATTTATTGAAAAAATTTAAAAACTGAAAATATCCAAAGTACGAAGGGTAGAGGTACTTTAACAATAAAATGGCTGAAGTGCATTGAATGGAAGTAATGGAAGTAATTCTTCTCAATTAATCCCCGCAGATCGCGAATAAATCCCAGGACACTCACCTCCCGATGAAATCCGAGATGATGAATAAGGTTTTATCAGAAGTTCGAACGATGCGAGGGAGGCAGGAGCACTTGGACACTCGGCTGGGTGCGATGAAGCGGGAGAACGAGGCCCTGTGGAGGGAGCTAGCCATGCTGAGGCGAAAGCACCTCAAGCAGCAGGACATTGTCAACAAGCTTATTCATTTTCTCGTCACCCTGGTCCAGCCTGGGAGGGGTGGTGGGCTGTCGGTCAAGCGGAGGTATCCCCTGATGATCGATAATCATCAGAGGAGCAAACACCCCAAGATGTCAAAGGTATGGCGAAAAAAAAAACAGCTTGAAGAATTCGATCTCCCAAATTTCGTGTTTTTTTTTCGTCTGATTTTAAGGTTTTAATGCGATGTATTTTTGTCTGGTGATTCCAGCCGGAAGCGTCACCCACTGGACCCACAATTCACGAACTCGATGGAGAACACGAGCATGATTTGAACTCCCAATACATCGTCGCTGAGTAATTAACTTTGTCAATTCAATTTTCGAGTAAATTCGCGATTTTGTTTCATTAAAACTTGGAATATCTCAGAAACCAGTGGATTTATCGAAAAATGTCAAGAGAGCTTTTCTGTTAAAAATTAAATTCCCCACAAAAAAGTTTCCATGACATTTTTTGATACATCCAATAGTTTCGAAGATAACACAAATTAATAACGACGTAAAAAACAGAACAAAAAAAGTTGTTTTCTCGTCTTATAAAAAATCCAATTACCTCAATAACGAGTAGATTTACGAGAAAACTTCAAGAGACATTTTTTCTGGAGAATTGAATTCTCCGCAAAACATCTCTCTTCACTTTTTTCGATAAACTCGGTGGTCTCTTTATATCCTGACTTTTAAAAACCAAAACCATTTTTTCTCACATTACATTTGTGAATCTAGAATGCTGGAGAATCACACGCCAGCGATTCAAAGTCCGGCGTCGATAGAAACGGAGCTAGACGACGACAACACCGAGACTATCTATCACACAGCTGACGAGACAGTTGACCGAGAGATTCGACTGCTCCAGGCGCAGGAGGAGGCAGTGAAGAAGCAGCTAAACATAAAACCCAAGAAGAAGTGAGTGATTAAATTTCTTCCTTTGATATTTGCCACTCCTCACACCTGAGTTGATGCTTGGAGGGCTTGTAATCACACGAGCAATGAACATTGTCACCTCAACATCATTAATTCCCCATCATGCATGCACTCTTCGATCAATTGTCTTCAAGTTGTGAATTCTTCAGCAATTGTAATGGAGTAGTGAAGCCCAACGAGTGCGCGAGTGGACGTACTTTAATGTATTCGAGCCATCCACTCGATAATTCATTAATTGATCGTTAAATTCCACTGCATCAGTGAATAATAATCGCCTCAAGCGTTCATTAAGCTGTTATTTATGTGTAGAACTGAATTATTTGATGTAATAGGGTGATTAATTTGAACATTGCCAGGAGGAAAAACAAGGTGCCTGTCAAAATTCTGATACCACCGACGCAAGCTGGGGCGAAACCGAGGTTACCATTTTATTTCACACTCATTATGTCGTTTCTACATTTTTATTTCTTTCATTTACGTTGTTATTGTCAATTTTCGATTACTTTATTGTTCAGATACTGTTGCAGGTAGTTTTCACTCATCAGTTGTTGATTATTCTGCATGACGAGTCGATTTTCTACTCATCGTTATCGTTTTCATTTCGAATTCCTGTGATTTTTCAGTGATTCTTCAATATTGAATGGCTTTTTTCAATTTATCTGGGGGGAGGGGTGGGGGAATGAACACTATTTCATTTTTATTGACATTAATCAATTAATATTACCAAATTTTGAAATAAAACTGTTTTTTAATTTCATAAAAGTCTAGATATCTAGGGAACTAGTGGGTTTATCGAAAAAAGGGAAAAGAGATTTTTTGTAGAGAATTGAATTTTAAAGAAAAAATGTTTCACTACATTTTTTCGTACCTCCAATGGTTATTCAGATATTCCGAGATTTCATATGACGGAAATTCAAGTGTTCTAATTTCCACTAATCCCCCAAAAAATTGCATGACCTTACGAATAATCCAAGAAGCTTTCGTTACGTTCTCGTAGATACCTTCGCAACAAACCGATGAAATTTATCAGTAATTTTTATTGACATTTCTACAAAAGAAATTATTCATAAGTCGTGAAATCAAGACTGGCAAAAACCAGCTGTCTCGATTTTTAGGCAAGAAACACTGTTGCTCGATGTGAATCCCGAGGAGCCAGTGCTTCCCATTGCCCTCCTAGAGAACAAGATAAAGCAAAAGCCAAAGGCAGTGCCCCTGAGGACAGTCAGAAGTTCAAAGCTCACGGCTATGGCAGCTAACATCAACAAGATGAACTCGGGGGAGGAATCTGAGGTCGAGGAGCCCCAGGAGAACGCCGATGTCGACCTCAACGACATTCTCATCATCCCCGAGGTGACGTTGAGTCAGGAGGAAGAGGGAGGGCCCAAGAAGAATGGAGCCAGGGAGCCGGAGCTGGGACAGGCCCCCAATGTCTATCAGCAAGTTGATCAGGACCCTTCGTCCAGTGCTAAGAGTAAAGATTTGTCGTTGAGTCGGGTCAATCCCTCGGGGACTGAAGCTAACTACAGGTTAGGATCGATGTAAGTTCATGTTGGACCATGGGTTTGAGCAGATACTGGAGCCCTTGAGGAGGATTTATTTATTTGTTGATCTTGATTGGTGATTTATCATTTTTTTTCCTCAGCTGAATTTTCACCTCTTGCTAAAGAAGTTTTTCGTAGTGGTGCTTTCATTTTTTTTAAGTTTCGGATTTTTTGTGGGATATATGGTGACATTATACGTAATTTCATTTGCATATCATTTTTTAGAATTTTTGATTTTTCAAATTTTCACATTTTTTGAAAATTGGCCGCAGTGTGAATTTTCCGACGGTGAAAAACAAATTCTAATACCATTTTATCGTAGTTTCAAGATAATACAAGCATTTGAATCACAATGAAATATTAATTTTCAAAATGCATTCTCCTTTTACCTCTTCGCTACTTAATTATTCACCATAAAAATCATTTGTTCGAAATCGTAACATATTTATTCATATGTCATGCCTAAAAAATAAGGTTTCCAAAAGTTTGGACAATTACAATTATTTATTTATAAACAACGAATGTTTGAAAAAAATTTCTCACGCAATTTAATTGACAAATTGCATGATTGAATTTATAGTATGACTTTGATGTCCCTAATTCATGTTGTTTTGCTAACAATTGTCTTTGAATTTAGGGAGGAGATGGACAATCATCTGGAGACGATGCAGAATGAACTGGATAATCTTCGCGATATACTTCGTGGTGAAGGTTACAGTATCGACGCCAACACACTGCTTGGAGTAAGTATATTATCAAATTAATCATCTCCCTCATTAATAATCAAGCAAACGTAACAGAATATTTAGACCAAAGATTATTGGAAACAGGCTAAATTGGTAATGAAGTTAAAATAAAATGAAGGTAATTCGAAGGTAAATTCTTCAACATTCTAAATAATTTTTGATAAGAGACGTTTATTAATCAACTGTCTGATGGGGACTGTCTATTTTTGATTAGTCTTCATCAGTGTGAATTTTATTTTCAAGAAAGTCATGATTAGACAGCTTCATATCAGTATTTGGCAGACAGTTACGGACTGCGAGGATCATTTCCCTGGATTTCAATCGACGAGTCAATGGTTTAATCTCTTCCTTTATTATGAATAATAATTTATTCGTCATTTATGTGTGATAAAGTGATAATTCTTTGGTTGGATAGGACTTTACTTTTGATAGTTTCTAGTTTAATTGAGACATTCATTTATTATCGACTTTACAATTCTTTTATTTTTTTTTATTATCTCAATAGCTTTTTGGGGGTGACGATCCAATGTCGTTTGGAATTCCAATGAATCCCGAGTTGAATCCAAATCAGCGCGATAGGGATGATGATGATCATCTGTGTGGTGAGTTGAACATTATCAATTACAGATTTCAGTGGTAAAATAATGGTTTCAACTTTTTATGGTGCTGTATCTCATTATATTATATTTTTTTCACGATAACTCAGGATTAAGTCTGCAGTTTGGAATTATTTTAACGAACATGAAGAATATTTTATTGAAAGAACCAGTAATGAAATCAAGGGTAATGCCCACGAGGGGATTCGAACTAAGTTCGTTGCCTCACATGCGAAAGGTTCCGAGTTCAAATGCCGGCCAGGTAGAATGGTGCGATCTTACCATTTAAAGTCTTGATCATCATCGCAGTATACCCTAACCGGGTCGGAGCGATGTGAAATAACGATGAAAAAAA